TATGTCGTTCACGTCGGCCCCGATCCTCAATTAAGAATCTTCACCATCGCCCATAAACTTGGTATGCTTTCCAGCAATTACGTTTGGTTTGCAACTGATTGGCTTGCCACAACTCTAGATTCTTTTTCACCAACAGATCTTGCTTCACTTGATATACTTAATGGGGTAGTGGGGCTACGCCCTCATACTCAAGAGTCTAAAGGAAAGAAGGATTTGTGGAATCGTTTGAGCAAAATGCAGCCCAAAGGTTTGGCCAATTCTGTGTTGAATGTTTATGGACTGTATGCTTATGATTCAGTATGGGTTGTTGCCAGGGCAGTGGATAAGTTTCTCAAAGAAAATGGTAATATAACCTTTTCATCTACAGGTAAAGTCTTTGGCACTAGTAAAAGTGGAATTCAACTAGGAAGGCTTAAAGTGTTTAATGGAGGAAGTGATCTTCTTAGGATTATTATGCAAACAAATTACAGTGGTTTAAGTGGGCGAATTCAGTTTGGTGAAGACAGAAATATCATCAATGGTAGCTATGATGTGATTAATATTGACCAAAAGGAAATTCGTACGGTGGGTTATTGGTTTAACTACTCAGGATTCTCGATTTCACCACCAGAAGCCTTGACATTGAAACAAAAAGATTCCCCCTTAGATCAGAAACTCGACATTGTAGTTTGGCCTGGTGGAAACTCAAAAATACCAAACGGTTGGGTGATAGCAGACGCTGGAAAGCCCCTAAGAATTGCATATCCAAGAAGAGCAAGCTTTGTTGAGTTTGTTACTCAAGTGAACAACACCAATATAGTTCAAGGATACGTAATTGATATTTTCAAAGCAGCACTCAAGCTTATTCCATATGAAGTTCCTTACAAATTTGTGCCGTTTGGGGATGGTCTTGTCAATCCTAGTTACGATGAACTCGTTCAATCGGTTGCAGATAGTGTGAGTAGAGTGTTCTTCATTTGAACTTGTCTGAATTCCATTGAAATGGCTTGCTTATTCTGAATAATTTTGGGTTCTAGGTGTTTGATGCAGCTGTTGGGGACATTGCTATTGTTACCAACCGTACAAAGGTTGTTGATTTTTCTCAACCCTATATCACTACCGGGCTTATCATAGTTGCCCCAGTTAAAGATTCAAAATCAAGTGCTTGGGTGTTTCTTAAACCATTTACAGCAGAGATGTGGTGTGTAACAGGATTTTCTTTTGTGATTATTGGGATTGTTATTTGGATGCTTGAGCACCGAATCAACGACCATTTTCGAGGTCCTCCAAAGAGGCAGATTATCACTATGTGTCTGTAAGGCTCTTATGGCTTCCCTCACATTGCTCCTTTGACCAATTTTTGTATTTTCTTTTTTCAAGGACAATTTGAGGGTCATAACTCATACGAAGCTATTGTTGTGTGTCTTGCAGGTTCAGCTTTTCAACTCTGTTCAAGGCTAATCGTAAGTCCTTTACATTTTAGAGCTCCTATTTCTTTTCTTTTCTGTTTTCCTTTTCGGTAAGATTCAAAACATAATGGTTGTTTAGATGTTTTGTCAAAGAAAGAGAAGAACAATGATCCATATTGTTCTTGATTGTCTTATTGTTCTTATCATTGAATAAACAGAAGAAGCAACCATTAGCCCACTTTCACGAATGGTGATGTTGGTATGGCTGTTCTTATTGTTGGTAATAACGTCAAGCTACACAGCAAGTTTGACATCAATACTCACAATTCAGAAACTTTGGTCGCCAATACGTGGAATTGATGACTTGGTTGCAAGTAACGTGCCAATAGGATATCAGGTAGGATCCTTTGCTTATGACTATTTGACACAGAGCCTTTTCATACCACGCTCCAGACTAGTGGAGCTTCACGACCCTGATGATTACGAGAAAGCGCTGCGGCTTGGTCCAAAAGGAGGCGGTGTGGCAGCTATCATTGATGAACTGCCGTATTTGGAGTTATTTCTGTCTAAGACCAAAGAGTTTGGAATGATCGGACAAACTTTTACTAGAAGCGGATGGGGATTTGTGAGTCTCTATCTATCTTTTCTTTACCTAATAATGCTATAGGCATAGTTCGTTAGGAATCACGACTTTTAACAAAGGATATTGTCCACTTTGAGTATAAGCTCTCTTGCCTTGGCATTGCTTTGGGCTTCCCCAAATGGCCTCATACTTTAAAGTAGAGCCTCCCTGAGAACTATGAAGCTCTCAAACAGCCTTCCCTTAATCGAGGCTCGACTCTTCTTCCGGAGTCCTCGAACAAAGTACACCCTTTGTTCGACACTTAAGTCACTTTTGACTATACCTTCAAAGCTCACAACTTCTTTGTTCGACGTTTGAGGATTCTATTGACATGACTAAGTTAAGGACATAACTCTGATACCATGTTAGAAATCATGACTCTCTACAATGGTATGATTCATGGCTTTGCTTTAGAATTTCCCAAAAGGTCTCATACTAATGGAGATGTATTTCTTATTTATAAATTTCATGATCATTCCATAAATTAGCCAACGTGGGATTCCCTCCTAACAATCCGCAACATAATGTGTTTATAGTCCATGACCCTGAAGATTGAATCTATTTAATCTTTACACTTAAAAAAATGTTTAATGGATTCTTAAACTTTCGCGACTCAATTTTTCTTTTTATGAGTACAGGCTTTTCAGCGAAGATCTCGACTCGCAGTTGATATGTCAACTGCAATTTTAAGACTCTCTGAGAATGGAAAGCTTCAAGAGATACACGACACCTGGTTCTGTAAGCTGGGTTGTCCCGGGCAGCGGGGAGGAGAAGCGCAGCCAGACCAACTTCACCTAATCAGTTTCTGGGGTTTGTATTTACTTTGTGGAATCATTTCCTCTACTGCACTTTTCATGTTTCTTCTAAGAATAATTGGTCAGTATATCCGTTATCAACGACAACACCGTCATTCAGAGGTGGTTACACCGACCCCCATTCCGTCCAATACTGGCTGTACTCAGACCATTCAAAGTTTTATGCGGTTTATTGACGAGAAGGATGAAGCCATCAAAAACTTCTTTCGAGCAGCACATTTACGTGGTGCTCAAAGTGGGGAGCAACTCCAGAGACATTCCGGAGGGACAAAGGAGAAGGCTGATTTAGAGGTACAACTGGGGACCTCGAGTACGAATTTAGGATAAACTTTCGGTTGCTATTTGTGTCTCCATAATTCTTAAGTGGACTTCAGGGGACATGTCCATATTAAATCCCTTTGATTATCTCACTTAACTAGTAGCATAGTTTATATATATTTTTATAATTTAGAATATTTTGATCATCAGAACTCTAGTGGAAGGTAAGTCAAATCAATGCAAGTAATTTAAGGACAAAATTCTAATTACATCCGAAATAAGAACTTTATTTAACAGAAAAGGCAAAGTAAAAAGCAACACATGCATCTCATTTCATTGCATTAAGAAAAGTGAAAAGCAGCATAAGCGTGTTATTGCTTTAATACCCTCACACAAGTCACATTATATCTTTATTATGGAAAAAGATAAAGTTTAAGACCCATCGGTCTTATTCTTCTCGACAACCAAAAGAAATTCTCTGGTCCAATTGGCTCGTTTTTTTTTTCCAAAGAAAACTGAAGAATTATTTACTTCATAGCTTAAATATAATTTTATTAAGCCTACCAAACTAGAAGCACTTAGGTCAAGTCAACACGCAATCAGCAGATGTTATAATAATTCTACCAACTTTTTCTTTTGAAGTTTCAACGTGTACTCATTTTAACAAATATGAAGATGAAGGCCTTCCATTTTCGTAGAAATTTTATGAAAGAGACCTAAATAAGGCTATACAAAGTTAAGGTTAAAAACACTGGAAAAAAGTAATAATTTAGTTCTAATATACTTATTTAATTTTAGTATCTAACCATTTATCATATACTTAAAAAGCAACAATTTAACCCAGTGAAAAATATTGTTAAGATTTAAAAGAATTTCTAATGCAGGTAGATTGATCTAACTTCTTAATAACCAAATATACTTATATTTATGAACTACTAATAACAAGGTTAAATATATTCAACTTTACATCTTGTTTCAAAAATACTCTTAACTTTTTAAAAATTTCAATAATACCTTTAAACTTTTAAGAGAATGTTAAAAAAATACTATTACTATTAGTTTTGGAGGATAACTATTGATACTTTATTTAAGAAAATAATTCAAACTTTCAAAAGGATTTAAAAAATACCTCAGTGTTTTAAAAGTTTATTTAAATTTTCATAAGTTTCATTAATACTCTTAATTTTTTTAAAAAAATTAAAAAATATTTTTACTTAGTACCACATTTCAAAAATAGTTGAATTTTCAAAAGTAACATACTATAGTTTAAAAATAATTTATGAGATACCGATAGACAGTTTTCGTCTATATATTGACAGTAAAAAAAATTTTGAACTTTTTTTTTATTAATGCTACTTTTAAAATTTTATGAGTATTTTTTTTAAACATAGTACTCACGGTAAGATTATTTTTGAACTTTTTAAAAAGATTATGGTTATTAATAAAATTTTGTAAAGTTGAGTATATTTTTTAAAAAGTACTAGGTAAATGTATTTTTTTAGACTTTTTAAAAATTTTAAGAATATTTTTAGACCAATTATAAAATTTAGGTTTATTTATTTATTTATTATTTTAAGATAATAATAAGTGACATTTGATTTTGATAGAATTTTGCAGGTAGCCATTAGATTGTGATAAGTTTTAAAATAAAAAGGTTAAATTAAAAATCAAAATTTACAAATTTAAAATTACGAAGGAAATTTATAGATTAAATGTTTCCTCCCATAAAGATTAAAAAAATGTTTATTTTATAAAATCAAAATTAAAGAATATTCAAAGAAATACAAACAGTTTAATATATTAAAGATAAAAATAAATATAAATATTTAGAAACTGAAAGATAAGCCAAAATTACATTAAGATAAAGCGTCTGGTAAGTTGGTGATAAAAAAAAAAACAACAGGAAACAGGGATAGTATCGAGGTTTTTATTAGCCAGAAAGGTTGTTTTTGTCATTTTAGGTTTGGATAGCCTCCTCTCACAGCAGACCATATAACTGGTTCTGTCAAACTGGGTGTTCACTGTAATAGGCTATGGCTTCCACGCTATCCATCCCTTTTCAAACCAGGTATAACTCCTAATTTTGCTCTAATGATTGTCTTTCTGGGTTCAAGCCTATTAGTGGCCATTGGTAGACTTCGTATTTTATGATTATAAAATTTTCTGAACAAGCTCGGAAGTTCGTCTTAATTGGGTTCCCTTTCTAACTGTGTAGACGTTCTACTCTTACATATTGCATTTGTGGAGTGTGAAGTCTCGAATAGACCATAATGGTCAGCAAAGGTTTTTCCTTTTGCGTTCAACTTGTTCGTCTTAGTGCACATTTCCTTGGGATGTGAATTTGGGGGTTTCCGGTCATCGTTATCTTCTTTTATCTTGCCAAGCCTCAGAGTTGAGTTTTTGGTTTTCCTGATATGAGTCAGCCGGTCTGGAGATTATTGGAGGCTACAGTGCTCGCTATTTGGTTGCTTTAGAAGTTGTCGTACTTTGAGGATATCTTTCCTAGACCTTTGGAAACTTTTTTGGAGAACCATCCTCAATGTATCTAGATGATTTTCTAATTCTAGGAATTTTTTGAAATTATTTCTATTTCATATTCAAGACTTCAAGTCAATTGGAAAATTTCTTGAAACTTATCAGCTGACTGAAGTTATGTCTTCCATTTGGGTTTAATTATGAATTAGAAAATTATCTTTAATTTCTTTGTCGTGTTTTCTTAGAGAGACGCTCTCCTAAAAACGTGAAATTTTCTACTGGTCATTAAGTCATTAAGGTGTGTAAATTACACGGATGGAATTTAGAGGAAGTGTCCTTCCATGTTCCTCAATTCTAGTTGTGTTTGTATGTTGTCCTTACACTGTGGCTGTATGGTACAAAACAAGTTCTGCCATACCACCACCAATGTGGAGATTTCGATTCTCTGCTGTTTGAATATGTTATTTAGTGCTAAACTATTACACTGTCCTTTGATTGACTTTTGTGTGTTTTGAACCCTTCAGCCATCACTAACAATGGACGTCTACACATTACCTTTCTTTTCTGCTATAGACTGGGCTCCTTATAGTTGGCTTAGAGAGTGTGTCAAGCATAGAGTTTGTTCAATGTTAGTCGTGGTTGTCTTTTATTTAATCATTAAGCTCTTTTTTGTAAGAAGGAAACGTTCTTAAATTTGAAACCATTTTCCTTATTGTGGCTCAGCAATTTTCGGTCTACTTTTTTGGGAGAGAAAAATGGATTCTCTGCTTCTACAATGCCTGTATCTCATATTGTTCGCTTGAGGAAGACTATTGAATGCAAGGAATCACGAATAGGGAAGCAACCAATTCAAGTGCCATCCAATGTAACCATCACATTACAGGGTCAGGATTTGAAAGTTAAGGGTCCTTTGGGAGAGCTTTCACTCCTTTATCCACGAGAAGTGAAGATTGAGAGGGATGATTCAGGGATCTTAAGGGTTAAGAAGGCACTGGAGACTAGGAGAGCCAACCAAATGCATGGGCTTTTCAGGTAACCTCCACCTAATTTAATTTACAATATTTTCACAGTAACCGATTAAGTTTAATCTTCTGAAACATTTAGCTTTTGTTTTTCTTCCTCTTAAGTTTTAGTTTACATGGATCACTTCCTATATGTATCTTCTCCAAAATTTGGTTGCCTCCTATGAAGATGCCTACTTGCCTCGCTAATCAAGTTGGTCATCTTTTTCATAAATTATGATCTGAAAAATGCTTTTATGGATGAGAATACTAACGGAGTGGCCAACTCTAGATATTCCCTCCTTTCTAATGATTATCTGTGGACTGCTAGAAAGAAACCAACTAAAATATCTTAAAATTCTGAAAACCCAAAACCACTTCATGCTATGAATGCAAACAACCAGCCATTGTTCCTTCATTTGTAATACAGATGAATGATGTCTGATGGAAAAAGAGTAATAAATGATGTACTCTGAGAAAATGCAGCTGTCGTGTCATATATGACCATTTCAACTGATTTATTCAGGACCCTTACAGACAATATGGTGGTAGGAGTGTCCAAGGGGTTTGAAAAGAAACTTCAATTGGTAGGTGTTGGTTATCGAGCGATGTTAGAAGGAAAAGACTTGGTATTAAATCTTGGGTTCTCTCATCCTGTTAGAATGGCCATTCCTGACGGGCTTCAAGTAAAGGTGGAAGAAAACACCAGAATTACCGTCAGTGGATATGATAAATGTGCCATTGGTCAGTTTGCTGCCTCTATTAGACAATGGAGACCTCCAGAACCGTATAAGGGTAAAGGAGTGAAATATGCTGATGAAGTTGTCAGAAGAAAGGAGGGGAAAGCAGGGAAGAAGAAGTGATGGTTCGTTATTCATTGTTGGTTTTTCTCTCTTTTTGAAATATGTACTAGTCTTTCTAGAATCAGAAAGGATTATTGGCATCATAATTTATTAGAGTTCATTTTTTTTCCTTCTCCCTTTTCTTATTAAATTTTCAGTTTAATATCATCATCACTTTTCAGTTCCTACCACATTTTTATCAGTTGGAAAAATGGCATCGAACTCCTAAAGATCGCCATCTAGTTTATACTTGCGCATGTAGCATGGACTCGGTTTTCTTCCAGTGCTAAGTGTGTCCGTGTGATAAGAACTGAACAATAATATAATTTCTTTTCTGCAACCTATGAATTTCTCTATGGTATGTGCAAAGATAAAGCTACAGCAAGAAGCCACGCACCTAAGATCTGGCCATTTGTGTTAGCTATCATGACAGCCTGCTTTCCTCCTGCATATTTACAGCCACCAGACTTCTATGAGCATCTTTAAATGTTGTTCTTACTTCAATTTGGATTAAACTTTGGCAGAGCTAGGTGAAACTTTAAATGTAAAACCTATAAACCAAACTACAGTTTTACATGAACTATAATTGCAGAGAATGTAAGCTATTATACGAAATAGAGAGCATGAAAACAAGAGTCGCAATCTTATTCTTCACTTATGCACCAGGAAATTTCACTTTGGAACATCGTGCAAACTTTCCATGGTCATTCATAGATGATGTGGAAAAATCAGTAGACAAACATAAAATTAAGTCCAGGAATCAGGATGCTTCATTTGATGCAATATAGTCATTCATATTCTTGTTCGTTTCTCCTAATCGTCTATTTTACATTTTCCTTATTAGTCATTACAATAAAACAAATACACACAGCAGATCAAGGAAGCGATCAAAATTTGAAACACAGAGAGAAAAAAGAAACAACAAAAATGAATCATCGTCAAAGAGCCTAGCAAGAAGAGAGAACAATGAAGAACAGAGCACAGATTGTTTCCTCTTCGGACAAATCGTCGCAAAAACAAACATCAAATGCAGAAGAAACAGATCATAGACAAGAATTCTTTGCCAGACGTATAGGGATTATGAACAACGGAAGTTTACAAGACGAAACAAACAAAGAGAAGATATAACAATACCAAACGAAATTCATAGCTACAAAGAAGAACCGCCAAGTAGCATAATCGGAGTAGATGAAACATCAACAATACGAAAACGAGCAAACGAGATCCAAAAATCGAATGAAAATGCAAGTTCATCAAGTATATTACTTCAAAATCAGGTCGTATCTCTTAACCCTCATTGCAGTTTCCGGAGCCTCCAAATTTTGAACGAGAACAAGAAAATGAAATGCAGATCCATCATATCTGTTCCTGGCGGGAAAATAGTATTTATACTCGACGATAATTCCGCCGATGAGAATGACAATAATACTTTGAGATTTTTTTTCCTTAATATATTTAAAACGCCCTAATTATTATTATTATTATTTAAGTCTAATTTTAATCCATGTATTAAGTTTTATTGTTTTAATTTTGATTTATTATTTTAGTCATTTTAACAAATATTTAAATATAAGAACTAATTAAAATTGAAAATATATTAACAAAAATAGTACTTTTAGGTTAAATTACATGTTTAATCTCGATTTTTTTTTTAATTTATGTCTGTTTCGTCTCTGAATGACTAATAAAATCTTAAACTTTCAATATAAGTGTTTATATCGGTTAGTGTCGAGCCATCTTTGCATGCACCTCACTATTTCTCGTACGATAACCATCAAACCCTACTACATACTGTTCTTACCGAACAATCTTGAACTCACAGTGTTTATATCAATTAGTGTCGAGCCATCTTGCACGCACCTCACTGTTTCTCGTACAATAACCATCGAACTCTACTACATACTATTCTTATCGAACAATCTTGAAACTTTCAGTGTTTAATTATATCAGCTTGTGTCGAGCCGTCTTGCATGCACCTCACTATTTCTCGTATGATAACTATTGAACTCTACTACATATTGTTCTTACCGAATAACTATTTGACTCTGCTACATTTGATCGTCAAAGTTAATCGTATAGTATTGAATCCTAGATATGTGATCAGTATAGCTGAAACCGGTTATAAGTAAAATAAAATTACTATAATTTTAACCATAAACACCAAATTCTTTATATTAAGAGGAAAGATTTGAAACCCTAAAACAATGCAACATTCTTATATTTATTTGAAAAAGTTGGTCCTTCAAGCTACTCAACAATTTGCTTGTTGTCATCCCACTTGTTTAATCTTTTTATTGCTTCTTCCACCTGCAATTCAATTCAAAAAAAATTTGTCATTTTTTCTATGATATAGCAATTTTAGCCATTAATTATATATTTTTTTATTTAAATTTTATACTTCCCGATTTTAAAATTTGTATTTCTAAAAAAATCACAAATTTAGCCTCGACTATTAGTTTATGGTGAATTTTTTTGTGATATCCCACCACCGTAAGCATTGTTTATAGGGGTGTAGAAATCTCTCCCTAAAAGAAAAGGACAAAAAGAACAATATGTGTTTTTCCGAAAGAGGTGGATTGTGAGATTCCATGTCGATTGGAGAAGATAACTGTGATGTCCCACGTTGGTTGAGAGAAGAACAAAATACTATTTATAAGGGTATGGAAACCTTCCACTAGCAGACACGTTTTAAAGTCTTGAGGGGAAGCTCGAAAGGGAAAGCCCAAAAAAGACAATATCTGCTAGCGGTGGATCTAGGTCATTACAAATGGTATCAGAGCTAGACACCGGACGATGTGTAAGCCTTCTTGTTGTTCCGCGAAGGTGGTAGACACAAGATAATGTGTCAGTAAGGACGCTGGCCTCAAAGGGAGGTGGATTTGGCGAGGGTCCCACATTGATCGAAGGAAGGAAAGAGCGTCAGCGAGGACGCTGGACCTCGAAGGGGGTAGATTGTGATGTGTGCCAATAAGGACGCTGGACCCCGAAGAGGGTGGACTGTGATGTCCCACATTGATTGGGAGGAGAACAAAACACCACACTGTGGGGTGAATTGTGATGTCCCACGTTGTTTTAAAAAATAGTCTCAGATAAATTTTGGTGAATATTTATATTATGTAATATTAGAATTATTGTTTTTATTTTACCAAATTCTATAAAAACTAACTTAATTTCAAGATATATGGTTAATTTAATTAATTAGCGCCTATAATAATAATTTTTTTATTTATTATATATTATATACCTCTTTATTCCAATCTGTACGCCACGTCACCCATACCAAAATTACCGTCTGCATGAAAGTTCCACCCATCAACCCTATCCATATGCCCTGTACATAAATTAAAATTTTCATTAAATCTTTAATACTATTTTTTAACCAAAAATAATAATTACTTTATCAAATTTAATTTAAATAAGTAACGAAAAATAATTCATATAATTGCTATGTAATTCAATTTCTATAATGGACCTAACTAATTGTCACATTCTTATCTCTTAATACCTTGGCGCCAAATTTGAAATAGAAGCCGAGGAGGGCACCCAAGGGCACGCCGACGATGTAATAGCAGCCGACGTTTACATAGGCAACGAATGCCTGCCACCCACATCCAACGGCTACACCTTCGAAGATCAAATCATAACAAAATTAAGCAAAACACAACTGCAACAACTTCGATAAAATGGTAATAACTCCTAATTCTTTCGATTTTGTCAAGATCGTGTAGCATAACATGCTCGAAATTTGAATCAAAATTTGAAATACAAATTCAGAGATTCAGCATGCTTTATCTTCACTCACATTGTTCATAAGATTTTAAAATGTGTATGCTAGGGGAAGGTTTCCACACCCTTATAAAGGGTGATTTGTTCTCCTCCCCAACCAACGTGGGACCTCACAATCCACCCCCTTTCGGGGCCCAGCGTCCTCGCTAGCACTCTTTCCTTCCTCCAATCAATGTGGGACCGCCCCTAAATCCACTCCCTTTGGGACCAACGTCCTTACTGGCACACCGCCTCGTGTCTACCCCCTTCGGGGAACAACGAGAAGGCTGGCACATCGTCCGATGTCTGGCTCTGATACCATTTGTAACGACTCAGGCCCACCGCTAATAGATATTGTCTTCTTTGATTTTCCTTTTCAGGCTTACCCTCAATGCTTTGAAACGCGTCCTAGGGGAGGTTTTCACACCCTTATAAAGTGTGATTTGTTCTCCTCTCCAGTCAACCTGAGACATCACAAAAGTAGAAGTATATTTTATTACCGGTTAAGACTGGTTGGATTCCATTGAGGAGGAGGGTGAGAGCGAGAAGTGGGCATAAGTCGGAGACGGCGGCGGCCACGGCGATGCCATCAGTGAAGACGTAGCTAATGACGTTGCGAAGAGCCAGTACAAGTACGGCACAAGAGACGGAGACAACGGTGGAGATGGCAACCACCACCGCCACGGAAAACGCTGCGGATTTTGGATTCCCACTTCCCAGTTCGTTGCTCACTCTCACACTGCAAATTACGCAAACAAAAATAAATAATATAAAACCAAAAGAAAAATTAGGCTTAATTTTTTTAAAAAAGAAATTAAATAGTTATGAAATGATTTTGGAATGTAATTTCTTAAAAATTAATTCTTAAAAATTAATAATTTTTACAATTATTTAGACTAATTGAAATAATTGAGAAAAATTACCTGGCGGCAGCGTTGAAGCCGACTGAAATCATGTAAACCCATCCATATATGGTCATACTACAAAATTACCACATATTTAAATTAATTAAACTTTAATTAGACCATCAACTAACTTTTAACCGTGGTTAAAAAAAAACTTTAAAAAGTTATTTATATTTGGATCCATTTCAAAAATACCTTTAAACTATACTACGTTTCTTTAATAACTTTCCATCTTTTTAAAAAGTTTTTTGAAAAAAAAAATAACATTACTTCTATTACTATTTTTAAAAAAATATTCACAAAATTTTAAAAATAGTATTAACACCCGTATTTAAAAAAAGTAAAAAAATTATTACTATCAGTATATGAACGAAAACCATCTAGACATCTAATAGATTATATTTAAACTTTTTATTATTATTTTCAAAATTCATAGATATTTTTGAAATAAGTAATTTGGAAGGG